GGATGTGTCAACGGGTGAAGTTCGCCTCAAATGCGGCTGCGCCGCTGGTCAGCTTTCCAGTACCCACTGGGTGCTGGCAGTCCATGAGTTTGGATTTCGTCTTTGGCCTGCCGAAAGATTCGGGGGGCAACACGGGTGTCGTGGTATTCGTCGACCGGTTGAGCAAGACGGCTCATTTGGCGGCGGTGCCAGACACCATCGACGAAGTCGGTACAGCAACGCTGTTCGTAGATCGTGTTTTCCGACAACACAGACTCCCAGAGTCGATTGTCTCGGATGGAGACCCCCGCTTACGGGAAATTTTGGTCGACTATCTTCAAGGTGCTAGGCATCAAATTGGATATGTCGACAGCGGATCATCCGCAGACCGAAGGTCAAACCGAAAGGGTGAAATGCGTCATCGAAGATGTAGCGTCTGCGCTGAGACGCCGAGGCGCTGGGGAGCCATGTTGCCAATCGTAGAGTTTGCACTGAACAATGCAGTGCATTCGTCTTCCGGCTATACGCCGTTTTACGTGAACGGGCTGATTAAGTCTCGCGTCCCGCTGACGCCGCCATCCCATGGCTCAGGGCTTGGTGGGGGAGGAATAGCCGAACGGCTAGTTGATGTCAGCCCCCTCACCATCAATAAAGAAGTCGATGACTTCTTCTCTACCAGAATTATTGTCCTACGAGACGTTCGCGATGCGATGGCTGACAGCCAAGACCTGCAGAAAGAATATACAGATGAAAAAGGAAGAGGCGAAGTGGAAAGCTTTGAGGTCGGGGACATGATTTTATTAAATTTTAAGAGCCTGCCTACACATGCAAACTCTGCTATCTTCCGGACGAAGCTTCGTTCACGGTTTATTGGACCGTTTGAGGTTGTGGCCAAGCGGGGCCTAGCGTATACGCCAAACCTCCCCAAACGAATGCACACACACCCGGTGTTTTACTTGGGCTTGTTAAGCCGCACCGGGATCCGGCGCTAGTGAACGCGGAAGCGTTGGCGCTGGAGCGGATCCCATGGGCCCTCGGCCACCCAGAAGTTAAAATCAGCAACTGGTTCTGAGCACGGAGGGCAACAACCTCCATTTTCGACGGAGCCAAGCACTCCACGGTTGCCTGCAGCGATGCATTTGCCTGCTCCATGACTAGGTGTTGCTCTGACAGAGAGCGGTAGTCCTCAAGGCAAGGCAGCCGGCGCACGACGCGTTTTAAATTGTCAAGAGCGTCCGCACAGCGATATGCTACTTCAGTATGAAGCTCAGCGAAGCTTCGATCACGAAGGACCTCGTCCTCAAGGGCTCGAAGCGCATCGCGAGTCACCGGACGGCGGTCGACCCGGTCGTCACCGACTCTTCCCGATGGGAACGGTGACGTCCACTATCACGTGGAACGTCTTGTTGGACGACGTCGTCACCAGGATCAAGCCCAGTATCTGGTGAAGTGGCGGGGATATCCCGAGTCCGAAACTCGTGGGAGTTTGAGGCGCCACTTCGGCATGATTGCCCGGTTGCCGTGGACGCTTTTGATCAGAAAGATCAGGACGTTTCGCGTCATCAGACGCCCCGCGCTTCCCAGGAATATCCAGGGAAGTAGACGGGCCATGAGCTGAGCTCAAGCAGTGTCCCTGAGCTCTTGCGGTCGCAGACACAGAGTTCGCGGGAGCATTAATGTTTAAATTATACTTTGCAGGGCGACAATCCGAAGGAATTTGACGTCGTGCCTTGAGTTTTTGAAAACTCAAATCGGAGGTGTCGCTCCACACGCGCGTCCACTTCCTTGTGGCTCAACTGTAGGTTATACAGCGAGAAAAGTTTCTGGTGCCATTGTACCCATCGCTCAAAGAGCGCTTCGTCATCCGTAGCGCTTTTGCCAGGGGCGAGCACTACAGGTATTGTCCACATTGCGGGTACACGAGAGTCACCTCGTTGAGCACTCAGACGAGTGCGATGAACTTCCAGCGGAATTTCTTGTGGAGCTCGAAGAGCCTTCCGTTTGGCAAGCTCATCTTCCGTTCTGGCCGGGGTCCGATGATATAGACGCGTAACGCTCGAGTTATAGCGTCCTTCGTTTCCACAGCGAGATCCGCAGGGCGGAAGCCATATTCCACACGAGGGTCAATGAACGGCCGCGGATGGGCGCTGTTTAGAGCCGCCTTTTAGGCAGCCTCAAGCTGCCGCCTCTGAGCCCCGTCGAGGTCATTGGTGATTACACCACGTACTTCGGTTGACGAGAAGTCAGAGAGCGGGCAAGGGGTCCGCAAATGGCGAGCAGGGCTTTTATCACGCTGCTGGCGCAGCTTGCCTTCCTCGTCATCCCATGCGGCAAAAGGAGTGTCAGACTTATAGTCGACCACCTCCACATAGAATACGGTATGTGGCTAGGTAGCCAGTAGTTATACATGGATTTATTAAACAATATATATTTAGTATATTTAGGAAAAATCAAACTTTTGAAATTAGGATAAAATAATAAATAACATCAGTTTTGGATTTTAAACCGTAGAGTCAATTGGCCTTGGGAAGGCAATAATTACTCTTGGAGTAAGCGGATTGCGATTCGCTAACTCGTACTTGTTCTAAGTATAGATCGAAAAATCGGTGACCTAGATTACGCTTCCTTAAGCGTTAAGCTACGGCAGCCCCACTGCACAGACGCTATGATGTTGTGTTCCTGAAGGTGAATCACGGGCGCAATTTTCAAGCTGGTGAGCGACTTTAGCAAGTGAAATTCGTTTCTGGCCTTTAATATGCAAGTTTTAAAAAGGACAAATCTAAGACAGGTCGATGATCATAACATGTTCAATCTTTGCAGGAGATACAAAATTGTTTAGACAAGATCGTCAAATTGACTACAAGTGCGACCAGATGCAACGATTCACGGTGTACATCGCTCAAAAAAACCTTGACTGTTCGAGTAGTCGTGATCAAGTGCGTTGAGAATGGATTCGTACGCTCCTTCTAGGATTAATCACATTATAAATAAACTCCTTTTATATTGCTCTTGACCGAAGAGTAACGGAAATCTAGATACAGTATGCGTGCCTAAATTTTATGAGCTGAGCGGTAATCTTGTAACTATTTTAAATCATTCTTGAGATCTAAACAATAAGGTAATGAGAAGAAGGCAAGTCTGGTCGTGCCTTCAATTACTTAAAAGACAAAAGAGCTACTAGAGTCTACATAATTGTGCATCTGCCGCATGTGCATTTCGACATTGATTTCGCCTCAAGCTCTTCATCTTCAACTGGTTGCGGCTTTACGCAGTAAACAGCAGAACATTTTAAATAAATTGATCCAAATCAAAGTATGATTGCAAACCTTACCACGTCTTCCTTGTGTTCTTGTTCTTCTACTGGTTCAGCCATACCTTGTGTGCTCTCAACTTCTTCGGCTGGTGGTGGCTCAACCGGAACATCCGACGAGTTCGCATCAAAGTTTTCGGGTTGTTCGGTCACTTCAATTTCTATGTTGACGTCGCTAACTGTTTCCCTCGTGTCTTCTGTTCTCTCTACACCTTCTGAAGCTTGGATATTCTCATCGCTAGACTCTGCATCAATAGCAGGATTATCGTGTAATTGCTCCAAGACTAATTGCGTTCGTGGCTCCATTTCGATCTCATTTACCAAAGCTGACAGCACTTGCTGGATAATCGCAGTCGTCTCGGTGACAGCAACAGTGTGGATAACTGCCAAAGTCTCTTCATCGACCATCTTTATGTCATTTCCAGAAACCACTTCAATCATATCGGGATCCTTCTCGGTCACAGGATCTTCCTCGGCCTGGATGTCGTCCTCTACATCACCAGCATCGCTTCCAGACTCCTGTGCGGGATTCAGATCGTCTTCGTCAGCAAGATTTTCGATATCCAGCGTTGCTTCTGACATTTGATTGCATACCTCTAATGGCATCTCAGCGCTGGTCTTGCCATCAACAGATTCCTCATTTTTGATACGCTCCTCTTCCTTGCTAGTTTTTGATTTTTCCGCCTTTGGTGACAAAATGACCACTTCAGAAGCTCGCGCCATATCCTCTTTGTTTTGAGATACAATACTTTCTGGCTGCACGGATGGAGTGTTCGATGAGAGCAAACCTGGAAATGCCTTGACGTCCACTCCCGCCTGTTCAAGCTTTGACATGGCCATCTCTAGCTACATACACACAGCAATGGTAAATTCTCTTCTAAATAAACGAATGGATTCAACAATCAGTCGCACTTCTTGATTGGAAAACATTGCGGGTTCGCTATTTTCAATCGGCTTATTATGGTGACCCACACGCTCCTCGGAAAACATCATGAAATGCTGGACGCAAAATAGCACCTGCACCATGTTCGTACCCTCATACAGATCGTCTGTGCAAAACAACGACAGGTCGTTCATTCCGATCCTGACACAACAAGTTAAAATTGAGTCAAAATCTCAATTATATAGTCTCTGCATTTTGTCGTACGACTTGCACTGCCGCAGAAACACGGAGATGTTTTCGCGCTCTTTCCAAGGTGCCATTCGCATTGAGTAACTCCGACTTATAGGCGACATACAGTTGGAAGCATCGGGAAAAAGCGTCTCCATCTATTATACGTGCGTAAATGACAACATTGTAAGCAATCAAAACCTGTAATCGAACTTTATTTGCCAGTTAATGTACCATTTCTCGTAACACCACCCCAGACTTCAGCGCTTCAAACAAGTCTGTAGTCGGGAGCTTGCGTTTCAACACACTCTCCATCCATGTCATCACCTCCTATAGCAGACCAAAATACGATTGAGCTAACATTTAAATAATGCTCCAAATGCCAACTTCTTACGCGCTGTCGACGGAGGTATTCGATAGCCATTGCTTTGTCGCCAGCCCATTTTGCTGAAAGTGATAAATTACGTTGATGCTTGCCACCCATTGTCGATGATTGCAAGTCACTTGTTTCATTCAGGTGCGGCACCATAACACTTTCGTTTATATCCATTGCTAGCAAATAGATTTATTTATCGTTTAACTCTGAAGCTCCGAGTGTCAACACGTTCGCGTTGTGTCTTTTAAAATACTTTCAAAAACCTAGTGCCAAGGCGCTACTGCTAGGACAAAAATCGCGAAACCAACGCAATGCATTAATATAAAGCATCGAAATCTTGATAACATCGTTCAATCCCATTTGATCTTCTCGATCCCACAGCGTTCAAATATAAATATACTTTTTCACACGTCACATATTGCCTTTGTAATCGTACTTAAATCAACTTTCAATTCGCTACCAGCAGTCATGATTCGCGTGGTGGCGGGGACGTACGAAGGCTTGCTGTACGGTTGGGAGTGCCCCACGAATGCTGCAAATGAGAACCGTAAAATGAAGCTCATTTTTGGTTATGCAGCACACTCCGAATGTATCAAAAGTGTGGCACTCATGGCTGCCAAGCAAGGCAAGACGCTGCTTTCAGGTGCAAACGACGAAATGATCAAGTATGTTGGTGGCAGTGACATAAGACAACGTCTATTGGCGATTACTGACAAATTATAATTTCTGATTTAGGATATACAATGTTGACAAACGTGTAGAAGTTGGTAGCCTCATGGAGCAGCATGGGGCTATCACCAGCCTTGAATTTTTTGGCCAGAGTCACGTTCTCAGTGGCAGTACTGACAACTCTATCTGCATTTGGCGCACATCTGATTGGAATTGTTTGCATATTCTTGGTGGTCACAAGTGGGTGAATAGTTACTGATACTGATTAAAAAGATAGTATCTTACTCCTGGTATGTTTCTGGTATAGGGGAGAGATCAACTCAATCGCAGTGCATCCTAGTGGAAAAATGTGTTTTTCAGTGGCACGTGATCGAACGTTGCGCATGTGGAACCTTGTCAAGGGTCGAATCGCCTTCATTCGTCGGTTGGAACAGGAAGCGAAGCTCTGCATGTTCTCGCAGAATGGAACACATTACTCCCTTAGCTTTGGGAAGGATTTATCAGTCTTCAATATGAAAGCAGAGGTAGGTAAATATTTGTTATATGATTGAGATTCGACAGTTAATATCTCATTCTATATACTATGCTATCAAATAGCTTGTCGGTACACTGGAGCACACGAAAAAGATTCACTGCGCTGTATTTGCCACTGATGATTACATTGTCTGTGGTGGAGATGATAAGCAAATATACATTTGGAAGATCAATGGGATGTAAGTACTTTATCTGCTGTGGCGAATGTCTCAAATCATCTTTCGGGTCTTTGACAATTCTTGCTATGCAGACTGGTTGGGAAGGTGAGCCATAACGACATTGATGCCCGTATTCGATGCCTGCAAGCTGTGTACCCGTTCGGCGAGGATGAGTTGCCGTGGATTGTTTTGGCTACGTCCAATGGCGCGTTTCAGATCTGGGATTTTGCCTCATTTACATTGGATGAATCGTCGCCTGAGGAGTCGAACAAATCAGTACAACCAATAGCCTCGACGGTGCTTCTTACCAAACCTCGTGTAACCTGTCTTTCCGTTTGTATCGCAAGTGATAAACGTGCCGAAGAAACTACGAAGAGCAACGGTGATGCTACGAAAACAAAGCAGGTTAATCAAATTATAGACAAGAAGCCTGTTGCTGCACCTGGTGTCCCACATGTGGTAGTGGAACTAGACGATAATGACAACCAAGTTGCGGAAGACGGAGAGTTAAAAAAGCGCAAAATGACAATCGAGCGTACAAGTAAGAAGAAGAAGAGAAAGCAGAATAAAGAACGAGAGTAGAATCAATCATTTCAAATGACTATTGCAAATGATATAGAATTCATCATTATATTACATGATACTACACGGCAGGATGTAACCCTTCTTGAGGAGCTTTTACAGCATTTGGCAGACATCATGACCGGCGGCTGTTTCATTCACCTTGACGAGTTTCCTGGTCGCAAGACGTACGGATACAGCGATCAGCTTTGACCGACTTTCTATTACGTATACCACGGAATAATCCCACTGTTTCTCACTTTGTTCAAGCTCATTCGTTCAATCTGTTACACACCCACGACGTAGGCATGAATGCAAGCTTTTTGCTTCAACGTAGCAACTGGCAACTGGCGCTTCTGCATGAATTGATTGATACTGTATTTCTTAGTAAGTCAATGCTTCCAGTCATCATTACGGGTTCCATGATTACGAACCGATTACTTTGTAGTAGTTTAAATTTAATGCAACGATTGGTCCTGCATTCCAGTCATGCTATGATTGGCTAGAAGAGACAGCTTTTGATACGCTCTACGCTCGACGTGTATTTTCATAACTACAATGACCACTGAGAACTTAACGCATATAATTGTCGGACTTGGGAACCCGCTTCTCGACATTTTGGTTGATGTGACACCTGAGTTCCTTAGCAAGTATGGCCTTAAGTTGGATAACGCGATCCTGGCGGATGAAAGTCACGCACCTATGTTTGAAGAAATTGTGACACTCAAACCTGCATTCGTAGCCGGTGGTGCGACGCAAAACTCCATTCGAGTCGCTCAGTGGATGCTTAATAAGCACAACAAGACGGCGACGTCCTTCTTTGGCTCAGTTGGAAAAGATGCGCACGGTGCCAAACTCAAAGAATGTGCTCAGAAGGACGAAGTTAATGTTTTGTATCTTGAGCACGCCGACATTAAGACAGGCACTTGTGCCGTGTGTGTCTACAAGTCGGAACGCTCATTAATCGCTGACTTATCGGCTGCCAATCATTTTCATCATGACCATTTGGCAAAGCCTGAGAGTCAGGATATCATTAACAAGGGTCAGTTCTATTACTCGGCCGGTTTCCATTTGACAGTCTCACCCACAGCCGTCATGGCTTTGGCAAAACATGCCACGGAGAACAACAAGACTTTCCTTATCAATCTTGCAGCTCCTTTTATCGTCGAGTTTTATAAAGACCCTCTTTTGTCTGTTATCCCTTACGCTGACTTTGTATTTGGAAATGAAAGCGAAGCAAAGACGCTCGGCAAAGTGCAAGGCTGGGGCGAAGACATCAAAACAATCGCCCTCAAGACTGCACAGCTGGAAAAAGCCAACGGCTCGCGTTGTCGTACTGTCGTGTTTACTCAAGGCGCTGACGCTACGATCGTTGTGCACCAGGGTAAATTAATATCATTTGATGTACCCACGATCGCTGCTTCATCAATCGTCGACACAAACGGCGCGGGAGATGCTTTTGTGGGTGGTTTTATCTCCCGTTTGGCTTTGGGTTTACCTCTTGAGCAGTGCATCGTCGCTGGCCACTGGGCCGCCCAGGTCGTCCTCACCCGATCCGGCTGTACGCTTCCAGAGAATTGCGACTTTTAGGATTTGGTTGTGCTATAGGATTTCTTAAGGCAAAGTGTCAGGATCCGGGCATCAATGACACTTCCCCTTGAATGAACCTGTTTAAATCTTGTCTTGTTCATACGGATTCAAATTAGAAATCTATTATAAGCAGCATACTTGAATTAAGCAAGCTTTCCCACTTTCAGAGAACTCATTTCGAGCAATGTGTGCGTCTAAGACGAACGGGTACCAAGGATATAAACCGTTCGCGATGCAGCAATGTGCGACGTTGAAACCCGGTGAATCATACGAGCAGCGAGCAACTAAGTTCTCGTCAATGGGCTCGCAAATTACTACTTCAATTTTAAAGAATCGGATGGGAAGGCACGCATACGAGTCCGTGGCCATGCAGAATGGACTGCATGTTCGATCAGAACATTATCGTGTGCCCGATCGACGCGGCGTGAGTGTAAACGAGAAGTTACCAAGTTCGAAACCATTCATAGCATCGAGCACGTACTTGCACGATTTTCCGGCATCCGATGAAGTGCGCAGGGGCATTTTGCATACACCTCTTGAAGAATATGAGAAGGCATTTATGGCTATAGCACAGGAAAATAATCAGCATCAAGGAAAAGCTATACACTTATGTCAGTTGCAGAATGTATTAGAGCTTGCGCTTGATGAGGCTCAAGTTTGTCGCGTCGTTGATGTTTTTCACAGCTTTCTCGATCGTCGAGGAAGCGTGCGTGATCAAATATCGTGGGAACTCTTTCTTCACGCAATAGATCATGTCAACAAATTGATTGATCAGGAGCTTAGCCATTGCAAGATGCCAGAGCCTAGTTGCAAAACATGGAGTGACCAAGCGGTTATCGAAAAGAAGCGTAACGAATCCCTCATATACTCCTGCACCCCTGCCAGTAGTTATAAAAAAGATTATGGTGCCTATGGTGATAATCCACGTGATCGACCATACATGAGGAAGCGAGGAATGGCTTCCACTACGGCCGACCTAAATTCGGGAACTATGCGCATGACAACTCATTTGCCGGGTTATGGAGGTTTCTTGCCGCTCTCATCGCACAGTACAAATGAAAATAATCATTTTGTGCCTACACTGAGTGAGCTTCGGCTTTATCACAGTGAAAATATTCCAGGCTACAGTGGGCACAAACCGGTGGACTGTGCGAACTACCGAGGTGAATGCCGTGCTGGTAGTGATTCTTGCACAACAACGGGAGATAGTTACAAAGGCCACAATTAGGTTGCGTTGACTTAAAAGTATAACAATTCTGTATTCGCATGGCCAATGCTGCTACATCACTTGCTCTAACATCTCACTTAAGAAAGTCTTGCCATTGATGATACTTGTAGATGCGATTACAAGCTCGATTGGATCTACATGTGCACACCGTTGCCACTGTATTAGTTGATAAAATCAGACTCAAATATAATCACTACTGTCTTACAAAAAGACGCCATCCACCGTAATGCAGCAATTTCGAGAAATGTGACGCCACCGACAAAAGCCACTACGATAACGGTCTTTTTCTTAATTTTTTGTTTTCTCGACTCGGTGCTATCCTTCTCGTTTAGTCGTAATTCAGCTCGCGGTCCAGGTAGACGACGCATGACATGATCAATTCGTCTCCAATCGCCATGTTTTAGAATCTCTTCTACAAGTCGAGCAGATATAGACCCGTAGCCTGAAGTCACGAAAGCTGTGTTCTCTGGATTATAAATATTGACATCAACGTCGATTACAGATAAAGAGTTGGCAACGGAATGAAAGGAGCTAGTTGTGTCACTAAAACCAAAAAATCCAGCACGGCGCTCGTAAAGTATTCCAAGGCGTTCAAGGTTACTAAACAAAAAAAATAACTCATATCCATAAGTTTTCACAATGGTCATCTTATAATGCTCTAGATCATGCCGCATCATGCCGTCATTAACCACACAATACAAACACAGAAGTCGAAGCACCTCTCGAGAATCCTCGTATCGATAAATGAGGTCTTCTATCATCTCTAGTGCGCCATCTGCTTGGTCCATAATTTTCCTTTCCAGATGCCACTGATCGCGAAATGCTTTGCTTGATGTTGTTTTCTTTAAACACTCTAGCAGATTAAGATGTTGTTCTATAGCTTGCTGTGACGTTTTCATCTTAGGCACTGTTTTGACAAATTCGTTCACTTCTGCTGACGTGGCGGTGATACTCACACGCTGAAACTCATTAAATCGTCCCTTTATAGCCATAGCTTGAGTGTTTAACGCCGCTGGAACAGTATGGATATGCTTGTCTCGAATTTGTTGAAAAGTTTCATCTGTCGAGTTCATAGCCAAAGGGACAGATGCATCATTATGGTTGTTATCTGCCCGTAAAATATCTGGGGGTACCATGACAAATCCATCTTGAATGTCCATGATCTCATCTAGTACACCCTCGTATGTCAGCGGTGTGGAAAAGATAGACGCATAGTCAACACTTCGATCAAGTAAAATTAACGTGTCAAGTCGTGATCTTGTGGCTGTAGTAGAAGATTCCTTCTTCGTATTATTTGCATTATTCATCCTGCCCGACCCACGTGCATTCATCTCCATCATCTGATTGCACACCAGCATCGCCAACTTACCTTTGTACTTAATGTATTGAAAATTTCCATATACTTGCTGTAAAACGTTTAATGCAGCTGCCATGTCCACCAACGAGCTCTGATTCCCTTCTACCTCGCACTCGTACAAAGTTCGGGGTAATCCTAGCGTGAGTATGTCCGTATCCAAAGGAAAGAAGCTCATTGCCAATTCGCCAGTCTCGAATCGATCTCGAAGTTGACTTTCGTCCAGTATTTGGTCCAGCATTGATGTCCACTTGCCCACTACATAAAGTATCAATCGTCGCTTCCGTTGTTTGTCTTCCCCTCTCACCAGCTTCTGAGCATGAATAAAGACCGCTCGAGCTTCTTGTGTGTGAGCAAATGCCAGATACACTACTGATGTGTCGTTCATGACATTGTCGTCCACAAGCTCTAAACACTCGACCACGTGATGGCAGTTCAACACACCAAGGCCGTTGACAAACACATGTGTTAAGAGCGATGCCAGCCGCTTCGTCAGTACTAGCGACAATTGATCGGTACCCAAATGGTCCAGTAAATTAGTCAAAGCACTTTCATTCTCTTCTCGAAGCTTTTGAAGAGGCAGCAGTCCCGTGTCAAGAGGTGGCAGCTTTATCATAACGTATAACAACAGGAAGAGACGCCGAAGATTCCCGATCTAAATTGAAAATGGTACGTATTGGATATGAGCTCTTTCTAGCTAGCTACAACAGAAATAGTCTGTTTCGTTAGTGGTCACTATGACGTGTGATGTACGTGAGCAAATCGATGCGTGTGACAACACCGAAAATGACTGACTTGGTCTCAGTCTCTCCGCCCTTGCGAATACGCTTCTGCTCTGTGACGACGAGCGCAAAGTGATCGCGGTCAAAAATACGACTTAGCTCGTATAGGGACGTCTGTGGATTCACCTGCTTAAATTGCTTAAACATGGCTTTCTCCACAGTATCCGTCGGGCGCACACGGCCAGGCATAAGCTGTGCAATAAGATTTCCTTCTGACACGACGCCAACAATCGAGTTATCATCGGCCACAACAGGCAAGTTATCGAAGCCTTCTTTTTTTAAGATATCCACGGCTTCTTTACATGTCAAGTCGGGAGTGATAGTCACAGGTGCCTGTAGCAGCAATTCCGACACATTTTTCTTAGCCCACCATGTAGAGCTCAGTGCGCTCTTTGACATGTCCGTCACATAACCGTGCTCGAACATCCAATCGTCGGACAGAAATTTGGACATATAGTTACGAGTCGAGTCAGGTAACACCACGACGCACCGTTGACCGGCTTTGAGGTCTTTGGCAGCCTTTAATGCCGCAGCGACAGCAGAACCACACGACCCTCCACAAAGTAGTCCCTCCTCACGAATAAGACGCCGTGACAAGAGGAATGATTCCTGATCACCCGTCTTGATCCATCGATCTACGAGAGAGCGATCTAATACTTGCGGGATGAAGTCGTATCCGATACCTTCGACCTGGTAGGATTTAAGACGATTCTCATCATTGAGGTGGTCAGGTTCGGCAAGAATGGAGCCGATAGGATCAGCGCCCACAATAATGCAGCTAGGACACTTTTCTTTAATCTTACGAGCTGTTCCAGACAAAGTACCGCCTGTTCCAACACCCATGACCACCATATCAACGTGTCCGTCGCAAGCTTCGAGGATCTCTTCAGCTGTACCATCGTAGTGAGCCAAAGGGTTGGACGGATTACTATATTGATCAAGGATATGAGCGTTCGGTATTTCCTTGACCAAGCGTTTGGCTACACCAATATGTGATTCAGGTGAGTCCCAAGCTGCTTCCGTCGGTGTACGAATAATCTCAGCACCTAAAGCTTTTAGTACGTCAACCTTCTCAAGCGACATTTTCTCTGGAAGCGTAATAATGATGCGAAAGCCATAGAGCGCAGCGGCAAGAGCCAGTCCGATTCCGGTGTTGCCTGAAGTCGGCTCAATGAGCGTGTCGCCAGGCTTAATGCGGCCTGAGGCCATAGCATCTTCAATCATTCGTTTACCAATGCGATCTTTTACTGACCCGCCAGCATTAAAAAATTCGCATTTTGCCAATAGCTCACACTCGAGTGACGCCCTCCTTGCAATCGAATTCAGACGCACTAGTGGTGTGTTGCCCACGTGATCCAGGATAGAATTAAGAATCTTGGGCTCTAATTGTCGAGGGCGATGAAAGTGTGGCTGCTGCACAAAACACGACGAGGGTGACGAGCATTCAGTGGATGGCGTTAACTGCGGACCAGCGTGGGAAGTCATGAGTTGTGTGCCTTTAAACTCAACAGCAAATATAATGCTTTGAGTGTGTTTTGTGAGGAGATATAATTAAAGAAATTAAATAATTTACTTGATAAGACATAAAATAGACTTCATCTGACACGTATACAATAGTTGGACCAATCATTTTCGTCTTTAAGTCTGAGTCAGAAAAGTTTCATAACTTACGACCTGATCAAAACATGGTTGCAGGCAGCGCTTAAAGTCGCTTAATACACGCCGAAATTCAGACTGTTCTTCTTTGTTACGATAATGCAAGGAGGATTGCGAAATTGATTCCGCTTCAATTACTTGATTGTCTTGGTCCTCGCTTTGAATTGGTGACTTCGTCTCGTCTGCTGTAAACTTGGTGACGTTCAATGCACATATCGCGTCTGGTGGTAAATCATTCTCCTTAACCGATGCACATGCCTTTAGAGACGTTTTCTTCTTAACGTATGTCAGCGAATTAGTTACAGTGTTATCGTCGCTGTATTTCAAAAGCTCTTTCCACGCCAAAGATAATTCGCTGTGATGGACGCTATTTGGTCGTTTAATTGGTAGTCGCCAATGCTCCCGTGTATATCCACAACGTATACTCACCAGTGGACGA